AGATAAAGGCCAGCATCATGGCATGTCATATCATATATGTATATATATATATACATATGTATACTGTATATATGTGTAGGCAAGGACAAAGGCACACACACWCATACGCGGGCGGRGTTTATTTACATGCGCCTCGCGTCAGACGCGAATGGCGTTCGCCACTTCCGGCTTCCGGCTCGCGCTGCTTAGCCGCACAAAGGGGAACAACAAAAACCCCGTTAAATGTTAAATCAATGAACGTGGCAACAATTAAAATATTCCACTTTCTGCATCCGCTGGAACTGCGACGACAACAACAACAACAACGGCAACAACAGCAACAAAAATGGCAACGCCCTCTCACTTATTTATGTATGTATTCTTCTTCTTCTTCTGTTCACTTGCGCAAATTATGGAATTTCAATCATTTATTTATTGCATGTAAATAATAAAATGTGCAGCYAAAGTTATGAATTTTATTAATTTTTAATATGCAGCGTGTTACAGCTGCAGCTCCTGGTTGTTGTTGTTGCTGCAAGCGCTGCTGTTGGGCTTATTGTGCACTTAACTGTCAAACAGTTATTGCTGTTGTTGTTGCTATTGTTGTTGCTGCTGGTCGATTTACGGCGTAATTTTTATTTCAATATGAGCTCTTCATGCGCATTGTTTGTACTTCAGTTTTGTTGTACCAAATTTCAATTAGTTTTTTCATGCACTTTATTGGCTATTGTTTCCAGGCTAAGTGCTTCCTCACACACATGCCCACAGACCCACACACACGCACACACAGGCACTTCCGTTAAATGTGTGTAAATTTCACAATATTCACAGTTCTATTGTGGCTTTTTGCACGCACTTGTTTTATTTTCAATAGCCAATAATAAATAGCCATATACATATAAAATGCATGCCATCATGAGTTAAGCGTGAGTCCTCAATTGTGTTGCCTAGTGTTGCATGGGAATAAGTATTTTACAAAGTAACAGATCGTCATTTCAAATATATAAAGGTAATTTAAGCTATATTAAGAGATTAGACATATATTACATATCAGTAATATTCACATACATTCATTTTTCAAATGTCACTGAGACTGCCAAGCAGTCCATATAAAACTAATTAAAACTGAATTGAAATGGAAACTGTATGTGAGTTATTGATTAATTATACAAATACTATTTGATACCTGGACAGATCCATTAAAATTCTCTCATAAAGAGCTACGTGAACTGCTTTAAAAAATTCCATTTTAATTTAACGCTCTTATTGCTATTGATTTTTCGCATTGCCATACAATACCCAATTTAGGAATTCAATTGAAAATTAATTTAAAACTCAATTGTTTAGGCAAATTGCGCACAATAAAACCAAAAATATCAGAACCAAATTTCATAGCCATTTAAGCACCACAAATGTGTGCAATGCGAACGAATTAAATTAAAAGCTGGCATTGCAGTCCGCCTCACAGCCATAATTAGCTGACCGAGCGCATTATCTCCTCAGAAGGGGCTGAGCGAGCGACAAAAAGAGTGTTAAGGACAAGTTAAGCAGAGGAACTGCCAAGACGACGGACAAGGGGGTAAAATATATTACACATGTATGTTGTGTGCTTTGCTCTTTAAGCACACAAACGAAACCCCAACGACCGCAACGTTGAGACTAGAGGCAGAAGGAGAGAAAGAGTGAGAGGGCCGGGCAGCATAAGAATCTTGTTGTGGTTGCCCCAAATGCTGTCCAGAAAGGAGCTCCCGTTCAAGTTGCATTTCGAGTCAGGGTCAGAGCTCTGCCCATATGCATATAGACGCTCGTTCGCACAGTGAAACGGAGTGATGTATGCAGAGGGGAGGGCTTGTGGCAGACGTTTGCAAACAGACAGCTTCCAGGTGTCAAAATCAATTCCGCATATTA